GGTAAGTGACTTACAAAGACACCAGTTTCTGTCTACCTGGATTTCTTTTTTTTATTGACACATCAGAAGACTTTCATTACTAAATACATCATGTATCATGTTGTTAGAGGTGTACAAAATGCATGATTGAAGAGCCACTAAAAAAATAGTCCAAGAAATGTGACATTCTTTGTAATAATAAAACATATCCATGAAAAATATAAAATGCTGCATATGTATATATACACAATGTATTTATAATATACATGAAAACAGTAAATAGGAAATTCAAACTCTTTTTTTTTTTAATCGGTCGTGGGGCTTGAACTCTGGCCTGGGCGCTGTCCTTCAGCTCTTCAGCTCAAGGCGAGTGCTCTACCACTTGAGCTACAGCACCACTTCCAGTTTTCTGGTGGTTTATTGGAGATAGGAGTATCATGGTCTCTCTTGCCCAGGCTGGCTTTGAATTGAGATCCTCAGATCTCAGCCTCCTGAGTAGCTAGGATTACAGGCTTGAGCCACCAGCACCCGGTGAAATTCAAACTCTTAATCTGATCTTTCACTCATTGTCTGACATTCTACCACCTATGCCATGCTTCCAGACCCTCTAATCTGGATTTTTATTTGCCTAGGTTGGAGGGAAATATTGGTGATTTTTTATGGATACAGAGTTTCTTTCTGTGATGATGAGAATGTTTACATCTTGATTTGGGTGATGGTGTCAGGAATCAGAAATACACATCTACAAAATACACAGTCACAATTTAATAGTAGTCATAAATCTTCCACCAGCAAGACAATCTTTCCAGGAAGAACAATGAAAGAAGGTGATTTCATCTCCTGGAATCAAAGGAAAGAAGTTTTCTAATTTTGCCAATCATTTCACTAGCTGCAGAGGAAGCTGTGAATTTCTCTGATCTCTTCTTTTCAAATTCCTTTCTTTGGGATGTCAATTTCTTGGATGCAGATGTCATGGCACATTTATTTCATCCTCCTTTAGGAACAAAGTCTTCTTGTCCACAGTTACATCTTGTACTTAAAGCACAGAGGCACTACTCTTTTCAGAGTCCCTTCCTCAGCCATGGGAAATACATCCACCATCATCTATCACCACCATGGCTGTACTGGGCCATCCAAACTCAGCCTGAAGCAGCAAATCTGAATCAAGATATTTATGAACTAAGACCAGATATTTGATTTACTTATCATAAACTGGCTTCTCCCTGAAGTAACATATATTTCAATATATCTCAATATTCACTAGAGTTCACCTTGAACTCTAGGACTAAAATACCATCACAGATTGGGGAATAAAGCGTGTTGTGTGAACTTGAGCATACATCCTGTAACCTACACACAGTAAGGGGCAACTACTGGCATGCATAACCTGTGGTTTCTTATCTGGCCTCCAGTGGGCAGTGCTGCCTACCACAGAAAACTTGTATCTGTTAGAGAGCATCTGTTTAGTTTTTCCTTCATGCAGCTTACAGATAAGAATAAGAGGGTGTAAAAAGCCTCCAGGGTGATTGCAGCAGTCCTGCTGAACTTTCTACACACCTCCCTTTTCCAAGTTCTTGCTTTCTATAGCCACTTGCAACATCTCGACGGCTCAGCCATGCTTCTTGTGCTCCTTTCAGCACTAGGGATGCATTTATTCCTGAGTGAGTACTTTTCCTGTTGTATTCCACCCTCAGGGTCTAAGTAGGTATGCTTAAGTTCCATAGTCAAGTTTGTGCTGATTTAAAGACCTGTTTGATTTTCCAGGACATGCTACAGCCCAGTTGGTGACCCAGCCTGATGTCCACATCACTGTCTCAGAAGGAAATTCTCTGGAGCTGAGGTGCAACTATTCCTATGGTGCTTCAGTTTTTCTCTTCTGGTACGTCCAGTATCCCAGCCAGGGCCTCCAGCTTCTTCTCAAGTATAGTTCAGGAGACCCCCTGGTTCAAGGCCTCAAAGGCTTTGAGGCTGAATTTAAGAGGAGCGACACTTCCTTCCACCTGAGGAAACACTCTGCGCATGTGAGTGACTCGGCTGCATACTTCTGTGCCTTGAGTGTCACAGTGCCTGGGGCTACAGTAGCAGCTGAACAAAAACCAGCCACAGAGAGGACATTCCACAAGCCCAAGGTCTCTCTGTGGTGTTTTGAACACTTGCTTTGTAAAGGGCAATGAGGAAAGGAGGCATGAGCAGAAACCACTCCCTTTTACAGGATTCTGCAATTCTTGCTGCAATATCCCATGCCTGGTGAGCTTCTTAGACAATTTAACTTGCACACATTCCATACACCATAGTCTACGATGAAAAACACTCAATGTAAATTGTGTAGTCATAATGCTCTGCTACACTGATTCTTGCTGGGTGAAGATACTCCACAACTTATAGGTTATTGTTCTTGCAAGGTTTCAAATTGTTATAAACAATGATTATTAAAATATGAGAAGCCTTGGTAGGCAACACTAAAACATTCACTAATTTGTTATTTATTATCAAATTTGTTATTTAATATCATTATATATCACACAGTCCATATATTTGTAAGTCATTATACATACATCCATATATATATGTATATTTCTAGTCATCTGAATGTTGGGAAGATAATTAGACATCACTTTGGTAGAATATCAAAGGTAAGAGAATGCTTTTATTTGGGAAACAGACTAGAACATGAATTTAAAAAGTAAAATGTTAGAAGTTGAAGATTTTTTTCATGTATAGTTATGACTCCAAATTGCTTTTGTGATTGATTTCATATAATGGAATACTAAAAATAGATCTTGTGTTAGTTTTCTAATGGTGCCATAGTAAACTATGACTGGATGACTTAAACTTAGCAGAATTATACTTTCTCATTACTAAGGAGCCTGGAAACCATGGTCAAGGAGTCAACAGGATTCTCCTGAAGCCTCACTTTGGCTTGCAGATGGCTGCATTTTCGATCAGTTCCACTCATTCTTTCTGAGGATATACATGATTATGTCCATATAAGACTAGATGTATTTAGTAAGAGCCCATTAATTGCCTTTTTATGCCCTATATTCAAATACAGTCATATTCTCAGATTCTCAGTGTCAGTGCTACAGCATATAAATTTTGGGTGGGTGTATGCAGTCTCCATCAGCCCTCCAAGTAAATAAATGCTATTTTCATAAAGACCCTGGAAGTCTTCATCAGCCCACATGCTATAGGTTTCCAGGGTATACAAGGCTCTTTTTTTGTAATTCTAATGATGGATTTTTCACATTTTCCCTTACAAGGCTTTTAAGGGGGATGAGAGCCATGTTATCACAAGTAATTCCTAAATATTCCAAACTGTAGAGCAAAGAATAAAAAATTTTTAATTTGTTTTAATACTTGTATTCTTTCTCCTTAGCTATACCAGAGTATGAAATGGTCTCATGTTTAGTTTTATCCTTTTGTAAAGACAAATCTTCATTCATTTTTGGCATTTCATGTCTGCACCTTTTTCCTTTCCCAATTTTCTTTTCTATCTGAAGGTTATTTACTTGCCTTGGTACCCCTTCTACTCATCTCTGAGTTCTCCTGTGCATGAGCTAATTCAACTAGCATGCTATTCTCCTTTTGCCTACCTCCTTTCTACACTCCTGGCTCTTACTAAAGCTAGGACTTCTCTTTGAAGGCTGCAATGCGCTTGATGTTGAGGGAGGGGTTGAAGAAGCAGGCTCAGCTTTAAATATATTCGACAAACTTCTTGACTGTAGTGTAGTATATGCAGAGAAAGATTCAAACTGTGACCAACATACACTTTGACAAAAATGAATAATAAGAGGCTGGAATATAGGATATGTAAGATGAGGGAAGATGACTGAAGAGGGTGAGCAAATGCACTCATAATATTCAGTGTATATCTGTGAAGAGGAAATTAGGAGTTACTTTTTGAGGATCCCAGAGGATTCAATAGTTGAGAGGTGAGACAATATGGTGAAGCTCACACACACACACACACACACACACACACACATGTGTAAATCAGTAATTTTCATGTTAGTTCATCCGTTCTGTCATTCATTATGAAACCTCAGAATGTTGCTGAATCTCTATTCACTGGACCCCATAAGTTTTAAATGAATTCCAAAAATGATTCTGAATGGGAATAATGAAAGTGAGATTGTGCTGGGATTGTAAGCAGGGAAGTTCAAAAGAACGTGTCTTAATTACATTTTTTTAATTTTTTATGTTCTAGAACTATATTATGCAAAGTTCACTGACCTGGATATTCTCCAATAGCATCAGTACCCAAGCTTTCACATATCTTCTCTAAGACTGGAAGGAACAAAATAAATAAAAGAAGAAAATGAGGTATAAAAATAGAAAAGTAACAGGTAGAGGGCTGTACTGAACATGTACAGCAATGTGAGGCCTGGGCAGAGTGACTGTGTGTCCTGCAGACAGTAGGAGAAAGGGCTGGACAGAAAAGAGGAGAGGAAAGAAGGAAATCAGAACAGCTTATGTCTGTCCTATTTTCTCTTAATCAACCAAACTAATGTTGAAACAATTTATGCACAGTCAGTGTCCTGGTAATTTTACACAACTGTGTTTATATTAAGGCACATTGCATGTTATCAAAACTGTCCTTTTTCAGGATTTTCATGCGAATTATTTCTCAACTTCTCTGGCTAGCTTGTATTAAAGAAATGGGATTGCTATTTCTGTAACTCCTCAAGGCCCTACTCAACACAGTTTTCCAGAGGTCCTTCTCTGAGGCATCAACCTCCAGCACAGAGCCTTCCCCACAAGCTTCTCTCTAGGTGGACTCTGTCAAGATAAAACCAATCCTTTCCTCCTCACACTTTGGAAGCTCTGACTGGGACCCTTACACTGCCCTCACAGCAGGGGCTGCTGTGTATCTTCAGGCAGTGAGGCTGGTTTCCTGTTAGATGAAGGGCAGAGCTCAGAGTTGACTGGCTCTGGTGAGTCAGGTGGGACCGGTTGCCTGTGGGAAGAGTATGTGTGGGCTGACGACTTGGCTGCCTCCAAAGCTGTGGAAATCACCCCAGCAAACATTCCAGGAGCCATGGGGAGGAGGCTGGGGGCTGCTCTGGGACTTCTGTGGGTGCAGATTTGCTGTGAGTTGGGGCCATCACAAGCAGAGTCAGGGAGCTCCAGAGCTGACAGGGAGGAATGGGGGACAGCTGCCACAAAGCTCCTGTGCGTCCTCCTCATCCTGGGTATTTCCTGGGGTGTTCTCAAACGGGGAAGCGGCCTCGGTGATTTCCCTGTGACACATCTGTGCCTGCTGTTCTCTTTCCACCAGGGTTGAGAGGGCTGCAGGTGGAGCAGAGCCCTTCAGTCCAGAGGCTCCAGGATGGAGCCAGCTCGACCCTGAGGTGCAATTTCTCTACCACGGTGTACAATGTGCAGTGGTTCCGACAGAATCCTGGCGGCGGCCTCCTCAGGCTGTTCTTCATGACTCCAGGGACAAAGCAGAAGGGAAGGCTACAGTCAACACTGGATTCCAAGGAATGCTACAGCAGCCTGCACATCTCTGCCTCCCAGCTGGAAGACTCGGGCACCTACCTTTGTGCAGCAGAGGCACAGTGCTCCCAGACACCCTGCAGCCTGGCCCCAAAGTGCAGCCGGGCTGCAGCCCCAGCCTCTGCCTCAGGGAGGGTGCACAGCAGCATTCCCCAGCTGTGGGTTCCTGATTCACCTCGAGTCGCTGTCAGCTCTTCTGATCTCAGGACTGTCATTCATTTGATTTGTTCCATTTACCATCCGGGAAATATTTTATAAGAAAAATCCCTCATGGAACCAGTGACTGAAAGTAATGGGAAAACAGGTCTCCTGACAGACTTCATCAATTACACAGGAATTACTGTCATGGAACACTTTTTAAAAACAGATGATTATCCAGGACCTAGTTGGCACATACCTATAATCTTTCTACTCAAGAGGCTGAAATCTGAGCACCACCAATTTAGCCTGCGGAGATTAGAAAGTTCATGAGACTCGTCTCCAACTAACCACCAAAGAGCCAGAAATGAAGCTCTAGTTCAAGTGTTAGAGGGCTAACCTTAATTAAAAAAAAAACTCAAGTGACTGCATGAAGGCCCTGACTTCAAGCCCTAGTACCAGCACTGAATATGATGGTGGGGGAGAAGGGTACTTTTTGCCAGTCATGTGACATGAACTTGGAGCCTGGGTGTTGTCTCTCAGCTTTTCCACTCTAGGGTAGCACTCTACCACTTTGAGCCACAGCACCACTTCCAGTTTTCTAGTGATTATTTGGAGATAATTATCTCATAGATTCCCCTTCCCCAGGCTGGCATTGAATCACTATCCTCAGATCTCAGTCTCCTGAGTAGCTAGGATTATAGGTATGAGCTACTGCATCCATCAATATATATGTAATATACAATACATATACATCACATATAGTATCTTTGATCTAGTATTTCAGCTCATTATCGGTATATTTTTAATATTACCCAGAAATGAAAACATTATACCACATCATCCACACTTTTTTTTTTTTTTTTGGTCCAGTTGTGGGGCCTGAACTCTGGGCCTGGGCGCTGTCCCTCAGCTCTTCAGCTCAAGGCCAGTGCTCTACCACTTGAGCCATAGCGCCACTTTTTCATTTTTGCTTATGTGGTGCTGAGGAATCGAACCCAGGCCCTCATGCATACCAGGCAAGCGCTCTACCACTGAGCCATCTTCCCAGCTCATCCACACTTTTTATTCAGATTTTTTCAGACATTGACCCATAACAGATGTATTGATATATACAATGTACATACACTGATACACACACTTGTGTGTTTATATACAGATATATATACATACATACAGATATGCTATCATTAAGTATTAAGACTTCAGGTGATTACATACATGACTTATGCACTGACAATATTTCACCACTTTGCACAAGAAGATACTGAGGAAGGCAAAGTGAAAGTATCTTCCCTAAGAAGTTATTGTTCTATCTAGGAGGGCTGGATTTGTGAAACCAGAGCTGGACACTGAGTCAGGCTTGTAGAACGTTCCAGAATATAAATGATACTTTTTGGTAACTTTCTATCATGTGATTTTATATATATGTATATATATATATATTTATATATATGCACACACACATATATAATATCCATTTTGTCCTTTTCTTTTTTTCAAGCACCATCAACACCCTATTATGATTTTTTCAGATTTTTATTGTTATTATAAATGTGATATAGAGAGGGATTACAGTTATGTAAGTCAGTTAATGAGTACATTTCTTTTGAGACAATGTCACTCTGTTCCTCACTGTTTCCCAGTTTTTCCTTCCCATCCCTACCCATAAGTTATATAGTTCATTTTCCACATAGTATCTAGTGAGTACCACTGCTGCATTTGTTCACTCTTTGTCCCTCCACTTCTTTGCCCTTCCTTATCCTCCCAAAACAGATAAAGGAACAAACAAGACAAACAGAAAATAAAACAAAAAATAGTAATAACCGGAAAAAACCTCATTTCTATGTCCTGGAGTTAATTTCTATAAATATTAGATGTACATAAGCATTGCATCTTTGTGATCCCCAACTGAGTACCCTCCTTTTCTCCCACTGTGTGTGAATGTCTACAGTTTTGTATAATTCATCATTTCCAGCATATATTAGTTCTAGCTTCCACATATGAGAGAAAGCATGCAATCTTTCTGTCTCTGAGGTGGGCTTACCTCATTTAACATGATTTATTGTTGGTCTATCCATTTCCCTGAAAATGACATAACATTATTCTTTCTAATTGCTGCGTAAAATTCAATTGTGCACAGATACCACACTTTTTATCCATTTGTCTATTTAAGGCACGTGAACAGTTTCCATGACATGGCAATTGTGAATAGTGTTGCAATGAACATGAGTGTACAAGTGTCTTTACAATATCCTGCTTTGTGATGTTCTGGGTAGATGCCCAGGAGTGGTATGGTGGATGGTAGGGAACATCTAAGTTTAGTTTTTTGAGGAACCTCCAGACTGCTGTGCAGAGTGGTTGTAGTAGATTTCATTCCCACCATCAGTGCAATAGGGTTCCTTTTTCCCCCACATTTCACCAACATTTGTTATTGTTCCAATTCAGTGTTGGAAGATGGAACAAGCAAATGAGCAGAGAAGATTCACAGACTTGAAGACAGGAACAAGGAAGGGCAAGCTCAGGTTCAAGAGCACGAGGTGAACTCAATGAATTGAGCAGTTGTATGGACCAGTCCATGTGCATAGGAGGAGGAACATAAAACACATATGTGCACATTACACTAAATGATTTGGAATAATTAATAGAATCCATAGAAGAAAATCTTCAAGTTTTAATCCTGAAAATAGATATGATATAGCACAGCAGAGTGCCTAGTAGCAGGCATAAATTAGTAATTGATAATAAAAATAGCAATTTGATAGGAAAGACCACTATTTTTTTGGGGGGGGGGTCTGGTTGTGGGGCCTGAACTCTGGGCCTGGGCGCTGTCCCTCAGCTCTTCAGCTCAAGGCTAGCGCTCTACCACTTGAGCCACAACACCACTTCCAGCTTTTTTCTTTTTGCTTATGTGGTGTTGAGGAATCAAACCCAGGGCCTTCAGCATTCAAGGCAAGCGCTCTACCACTGAGCCACCTTCTCAGCCCAAGACCACTATTTTTATATGAAGTTTAAATGAACAAATTATTAACACAGAGGAGAATTTAATTTTAATTTTCCTTGCAACCGAAGGCATAGTGAGAAGATACTTGCATTAGAATTCTGAATTATTTGCAAATGATGGCACCATTGTCAGTTGATCAAATCTTGAGAAGTAAATGAAAATGTTATAGGAATTAAAATAATGCTGTAAACTACTTTTATTTATTTAATGAATTATTTTTCTTGTTTATTTATATATTTATTTGCTTGACTGTTATCCCTTAAAAATGTTTTTGCTCTAGGTTGATGCCATACCATTTGAACAGCTCCACCTCTGGCTTTTAAAAATTAATATTGTAGAGTTAATATACAGAACGGTTACAGTTACATGAATCAGATAATGAGTATGAGTACAATTATTTTCTTTTTTTTGTTTGGTTCGGTTGTGGGGCCTGAACTCTGGGCCTGGGCACTCTCCCTCAGCTCTTCAGCTCAAGGCGAGTGCTCTACCACTTGAGCCACAGGGCCTTTTTTTTCTGCTTACGTGGTGCTGAGGAATCGAACCCAGGGCTTCATGCATGCAAGGCAAGCACTCTACCACTGAGCCATCTTCCCAGCCCTGAGTACAATTATTTTCTAACCCTTTCTCTCCTTCCATTTCTCTCTCCCAGCCTTTCCCTCCCATCTCCACCGACAAGATATCCAGTTCATTTTCCACATAGTGTCTAGTGAATATCAATGTTGTTCCACTTTTTTTTTAATTAATTTAATTTTATTTTATTTGTGAACATACTGTACAGAGGGGTTACAATTACATGGGCAGGATAATGCGTACATTTCTTACCAAGCATTGAAGCCTCCTCCTTTGTTTACCCTTCACATCCCTTCCCAGCCTCCCTCCTCCCCCCCAATCCCAATCCTTCTCCTTCCCCTCCCCCGTTCCCCCCCCCCCCCCCCCCCCGCACCGACGTTGTAAAGCTCATTTTGGACATGACAACTTGTACTTCTCATTGTTGCAACAGGTCCACCTGTATCCTTAAACAACTGGTTTTTCCCCATCTCCTCCACAAGTTATACTGACATCAAATATAGTGAAAGCAGGGGTTATACTGTGGGGGAGGGACATACAAAGCAACAAAGAGATAATCTTACAAATGCATTAGAAACACATGCATGAAAGAAAAAAACATTAAAATACATATCTAAGGGTTCATTTTCCTGACATCACATTATCTGACCTTTTCCGCTTGACTCATACATATACTAGATATTGCAAATAAGGGAAACCATGGGACCTATGTTTCTTTGGGCCTGGCTTACTTCACTTAATATAATTTTTTCCAAGTTTTTCCATTTCCTAACAAATGGGGCAATGTCATTCTTTCTGATGGAGGCATAGAATTCCATTGTGTATATATACCACATTTTCTTGATCCATTCATCTACTAAGGGGCATCTGGGTTGGTTCCATATCTTAGCTATGGTAAATAATGCTGCAATAAACATAGTTGTGCTGGTAGCTTTAGTGTGGTCTTGTTTGTAAACATTTGGGTAAATGCCCAAAAGTGGGATTGCTGGGTCATAGGGGAGTTCTATGTGAAGTCTTTTGAGGAACCTCCATACTGCTTTCCAAAGTGGTTGAACAAGTTTACATTCCCACCAACAATGAAGGAAGGTTCCTTTCTGTCCACATCCCCTCCAGCATCTGTTGCTGTTAGAGTTCTTGATTTTTGCCGTTCTAACTGGGGTGAGGTGATATCTCAATGTTGTTTTGATTTGCATTTCTTTTATGGCTAGGGATGTTGAACATTTCTTCATGTGTCTATTGGCCATCCTTCTTTCTTCTTCAGAGAAGTTTCTCTTTAAGTCTTTCACCCACTTATTTATTGGGCAGTTGTTTCTTTGAGGATTTGTTGTTGGGGGGTTTAATTTTTTGAGTTCCAAGTATATTTTAGATATGAGACCCTTGTCCGTTGTATGGCTAGTAAAGCTCTTCTCCCAATCCGTGGGCTTTCCACTGATCTTGCTAGCTATGTCATTTGCCCTGCAGAAGCTCTGCAACTTGATGCAATCCCATTTGTCCAACCTTTCTTTGATTTGTTGTGTTTCCGGGTCTCTATTCAAAAAATTTCGGCCTG